CTGACCAGGCTGTTTGCTGTTTGCTGCAAGGAGAAATTGCTGGGAGGCAGAGGCCGAGGGTTGGCAGGTGGGTGGGGTTTTGGCAACATTCGCTCTATAAGACGCACAGACATTTCCAGCCACTTTTTTTTGCGGGGGAAGTGTGTCTTATACTGCGAAAAATACAGTATATGGATCAGCTTGTTACCAAACCAATTTTTTAAACATTTGTGTTATTGTGAGAGGAATCTGGATTACCTAAAACTGTGAACTGGTCATTTTCAATTACAAATTTCTTGATTTCACAGTTTGGTTCAGGCATATTGGTAATATTTAGAATTATTGAATTACTGTCAATAGCAATGTATTTTGAATTATTCTAAATCTATAATATTTTTATAAACAAGTTAAAATGATTACTGAAATAGATGTGATATAATTGGAACACTTTAGGTATATAAAGTCAGAATATTTTGATTAATATATTGGAAGATTAAGGTGTTAAAAGAATATTAAGTTTAGTTTTTTATGATTTTAACCACACACACACACAAAAGATTCTTGTCATATTTATTGTACTACTAAGAGAATGTTTTTAAATTACTTATGTTTTTAAAAATTAAAATTCACTTTTCAATGAAGGAAAGTCATTGCTCACCCCATGTTTACAATTTTGGATCACTAATACCTGTGTGCTTTGAACAATCTCTTGATCAACATAATGGAAAGACCAATCCAAATTACTGTCTGCTCAAGGTTTAATGATGTGTTTAAAATGTGGGATTAACTGCTTTTTATATGTAGTATAAAATGGCTTTGTTGTTTCTTTTTTTCTGCATTTGTCTGGATAATTGTGGCTTTTGTTTTCTATTTTTCTTTTTTTCCTTTCTTTTGTAAATTAAAGCAATACAAATAAAATAAACAGAGAAGCCAATGTTTCCCACATCCTTGTAGATTTAGATAGATAGATAGATAGATAGATAGATAGATAGATAATATAGTTATTTCCTTCTAAGAATTTTTTGTTCGTTTTTAGTTTTAGTGTAACCGTTTTGATGAATGTGTGGAAATGGTACCACTTTTCCTTTATTACCAACCAAAGTAGCAAATTTTCAAAACAATTTCTTACTATAATGACAATGATTTTATGATTCTATTGTGGAAATATTTCAGAATGATTCCTCTTATGATTCTTCTTATCTAAAGATTTCAACTTTGCTCTTCTTTCAGAATACAGAATGTTTAACGAAGTTAGAATGTAAGTCTACAGTATACAATATAGACAAATCAAATGGAATGAAAAGCCAGTGCTACATTGCACATTATACCACAACAGTATAAAAGGACTCATAAAAATAAAGGCAGTCTTCATAGCCTCCATATAAGCTACTGTGAATAGAATCAACGAAATGTTCTTTAGAAACCTGGTACTATAACAGAGGAGGCTCTATCCGCCCCACTGGTAATGATGAGACAGATTCAGGTTTTCTTTCTTTCTTTTCAAGGTATTTTAAAATGGATGGCTAAATTCCTTCCTTGCTAACCCTAAGTCTGTGCAAAAGAGTCAGTCACTTGGTCCACATAGAAACTTAAGCTAACATGCTCTGAGGCATCTTCCTTGTAAATATTTTTTCTTAATTGTCTAAAATTTAAGATTAGCAAAAGATACCTAAGTTAGAGAAAGAGAAAAAAACATGTAAAATTAATGGAAATTACAAACTTGTTACGTGATCTGCTGCTTTCCGATCTGGTGCTTATTTTTAAACTGTTGGTTTTGCTTGTTTTCTTCCTATGTTACATTTCAGTCTTATCTTGTACCCAGCAGAGATTATACTACTTGAGACTTCTCAGAAAACAACAACTGAATGAAAAACTGCTGATGACCTTCTACCGCTGCACCATAGAGAGTATCTTAACTTACTGCACTTGTGCCAATTGCACAATGGCAGATAGGAAAGCATTCCAGAGGGTTAACGTCATTGCCCAAAAGATCATAACAGATAACAGATAATCAGAGTTGGAAGGGACCTTGCAGGTCATCTAGTCCAACTCCTCGCCCAAGCGGGAGACCCTAAACCATTTCTGACAAATGGCAGTCCAATCTCTTCTTGAAAGTCTCAAGTGGTTGCCCTCTCCCCTCTTTGGAAGAGCTTTATAGCTCCCGCTGCCTTAAGAAAGTTCAAAACATTCTCAAAGATCCATCTCATCCTGGGAACTCTTTTTTTGAAATATTACCATCTGGCAGATGGTATAGAATAATAAAAGCAAGGACAAATAGGCTGCAAAACAGCTTCTATCCCAGGGCAGTAGCTCTTTTGAATTCTACTGTATAGTACAGTGTTGGTATGGTGTTGGGTTTTTTTGGTTCAATGTGTGGAGTATGAAAGATGTGTGTTTGTGTTTATTTTCATGGTCATGATGTGCGCTGAAGATGGTGTTTTATTTCGTTGTACAAGGTGCAATGACAATAAAGTAAAGTAAACTAAACTAAAATAAACTATTTCAATGTTGTGTAAATTGCCTTTACTTATATACTTGTGGGTACCCACCCATAACATTTTTTCAATTACAAATTTACACCCATAACATTTTTTGGGTAGGAAGTTAGTAAACAACAATAAAAACATAAGGAAAGTCCTTAACATGTTTCCTTTTGTTAAAAAAGGCTTTAGTGAGTTACAACTAAACTACGCGGTAGGTTCAAAGATTGCCTAACTCTGCTCTAGATATATTATGTAGTTTCTGACTGACTCAATTTAATAAATTAGCAATTATTAAATACACTAGAATCAGTATGCAAACTGGCATAATGCAGTAAGGGGATCCCAATGTAGTGCCTATGGGCATCATATTACCTGAAGAACCTTAGGGTTTTCCTTCGCCCCCCTCGAATAGTCTTAAAATATTTATCAAATTGAACAAAAAGCAAATAAATAAATAGGAAACAGACATGCTGCAGAGCAAAACATCAGCTACTGGGACATTTAAAAAAAATAACTGGTAGATATGCAGGGAAAAAAATAGGCAGTAGGAGGAGATGGACTTCACAAAGATCATCCTGTAGGTATGCAGGTGGTGCAGTGGAAAATGAGCAGAGAAGAACTGAAAATACGTGTGTTCACATGTGCTCATGTATGCGTGCCTCTTTAAAATCGACAGTTTGCAGTCTGAGAAAGTAGTATTTGTTTTGCAGGGAAGTTATGTAATTGACATCAACTCCATCTCTGCCTTGTAGGAGATCCTGAATGATTTTTTTCTGTTTTTTTAGACCTCAAAAATTGGAAAGAACATAAATTCAAAAGAGTTGATGTTTTGGGGTATCACCTCTGCCTCATTTTCAGTTGTTGGGAAGTTTCCCAAGAACTGAAAATATATTTATGACTTCTGAAAGTACTTATCATGCATTCTCAAAGTTCCAAAGGTGCTCACTTGCCTAACAAAGCTGAAGACCCCATAAACAATAGCGTGAATGGAAATATTCTATTTCTGTGGTGCTGAGAAATGATTTATCACTCAGGATTGGCAATACCACCAACTCTACTGACTGGGTGAACTGAAAATAGAAACTGGCTTAATCCCAACTAGTAATCAAATACTGCGGTCAAGAAAGGTTGCTTGGGAGCCAGAATACCCTCTACACAGTAAATGATAATTGTTTGAGGAGGAGAAAAGAAGAAGCCTAAGAAGAGGAGAATTACAAGTTGGGAGAAGTGTGATTTCTGTTGTCACTCAAGATTACAGGAAAGAGTAACGCTAACCAGTTATGCTGTGGAAAAACAGCAGGGAAGAAAAGAAATAGAAGCAGTGGTTCAGGAGTTGTGGAGAGTAGCAGCAGCAGAAAGGCAAAGGCATAATATTTAGCTAAAAGTCCTTTGTTTATTTCTTATAGTAATGACCTCCCTTTGAAGAAGGTCTAGATGCCAAATTACGTTTTGATTTAGACTCATTTACTACTTACATTTCAAAAAAGGATATTGAAATAAGGGGAAAAACATATTCCTTTTACTAAGACAGCAACCGACTTTCACACAGTTGTCACTGAAAAGGTACCTTACCTGTCTAGAAGAATTCAAGTTTTGCATGCCCAGCCCTGAGGCAATCCCACCCAGGGTCTGATTAGGGAGTGCACTGTTTGAAAGGGGGAGCTTCAGGCTTGGTGAAGGCAAAAATGGTGAAGTAGTGGGCTCTTCCACTAGGCCGCCATCCTGATTGAAAAAAGAAAGGGTGAGCTGTGTGCAGTGTCCAGGTACAGACAGTGCACAAAACAGTTTCCCATGGAAATATAAGTGGAACATGGATGAATAAAAGATCAAAATATTGTTTAAAAAGGCATGAGGAATACATAATGAAAAGTATGGAGTGGAAGGAAGAAGAAAAAGAGAAACAGAATTAAGATACTGTTTGTCTTCATTTTTTGCTTTGAAATTTTTAAATGCATAATTGTAAATATATAATCATTCTTAAATATAAAAAGCAACAAACTCTTGTTGAAACACTTTTAAGACAGGAATCACATTGCAAATATTACATGCCTCATTTGGAACAATTGCATGTCCTTTCATGAAAAAAGATTATTATTTCTATTTTTAATTACTACTTTCATATCAAACTATTTTTTCTATTAATTAAAAAAAAACTATCCCAAAGACATATAGTCATTCTGAAGAAAACTAACACTACATTTTTGCAACATTACTATTTTGGAACAAAGTCACTTTTGTGACATTAAGGAAAACTTCAGACTGCCAAAACTCTTTAGCCTCTGGCAGTACACATAATTATTTGTAGTTTAGGTAAATTCTAACCTGCAAAAAAGCTGTTAGGAAAATACATTCTATTAGCACTCTATACAATCTCATGTTCATTGTGTGAATGAGTAAGACTTAAAAAAACATATTAGCATAGTACTGAAAGCATTGAATACAATGAAGTTTTTTTTTAAAAAAAATCTGTTAGTAATTTAAAAAATAGGAAAGAAGACAAGATTGCTACGACAATTCATCTCAAAGCAGGTGCCTTAATCTAAATATTACATAGGATTTTTGGATAGATTGTCAATTACAGTCTAAAGCATAAACGCAATTATATAGATCTCACTGTTCAGGTAAAAGGACTGAGCATAAATATTTAGGCTTAATAATGGTGCATAATTCTCTAGGTAACTATCTCCACAGCAAGCTGTCTCAACAAAAACCAGGATATAATTATGTTTCTTACAATGACAGATTTCTTAAGAAGCTGAAGAAACAGATACTTTTATTTCAGTTCCAGTGATACACATAATAATTCTGATTCTTCAAGGAACAACCAATCTCATTAACTGCCTACTTACTATGGAGGATTCTTTATCCTCCAGACAGGGTGGAAGACTAACAGGACATGTCCATAAAACCAACTAGCAGCCAGCAGACACTATGAAAATTTCTTAATCTCACAGCCCATAGACAGACTTAACCACTGTTTCAACTGGGAAACTATAAGAATCCCAAACCAAGTTAAATTCAGAAATGTCAGGGAATTCCTGGAAGCTTGAAATTCAGACAAATCAGCCATCAATAGACAGACAGTGATAAACTACATTTACACATCATTCAAAAAAAGAAAATAAAAAAGCTAAGAAGGAAAACAAAAACACCAAGACACATCAGCAACCAACATTCAGAAAAGCAAGGAATCAATACCAGATATCAAGCAGAAAACAGTACCCTAATCTAGGGACTACATTCACATCCCCATCAACAACATCAGGACAAGCTATTGTTTATAGGTAACATGTAGCAAACCCTACAATGACTAGCATTGATGATGTTACCTAATCAGGCAAACAACCAAGCTCAGAGCACACCAAGGACTCCACAGTTCAACCCGGAGCTACAAATATTCTCTTCTATAGGAACTACTTGCACAGCTTAGAGTTAAAACTAGCAACTGATTTCCGCTTTGCTTTGTAGAGATAGTACAAATCATAGTTTACCCATTTGGTTTAAGCTATGGTCTGCCTCAAAATTAAAGAAACCGTATTCAAGGAGAAGAGTAAATGATAGAAAGGACTTTGAAATATTTGCATCTGTTCCAAAAGGAAGAATTCAGCAATAACAATAAATTGATGAATGAGAGCAAATGCTCTCTCCTTCCTTTCCTTTCCTTCTGCAGGTTGTCCACCGCTATGATCATTTGCTCTGTTTAAACTTATGGTGGGGCTAAATGAAGAGACGTACAAGTCCCCAAATTTCAGGTGCTTGGCAGCCTTCTCATGACCACAGGGATGCTTTAACTCCTGCCACCCATGTATCACCACACCATCTATCTTCCCGTGGTCTCCAAGCACTTTGCGGCCCCTGCTATGCTAGTTGACTTCCATTATTTTCCTGTTCCTGCATCTGATAAGCATGGCCAGCCTGACCCTCCACAAGGCAGCTACTGGCTTCACAAATCTTTTCTTCAGGTTATGCTCAGAGGTTTCCCCACAAGACCTGGGGAAGATCGCCTAAGGTGGTTAGCAACTGCTTCTTGAAGGGCCAGGGCATGCATGCCCCATCAGGAAATGGGAGCAGGAACATGGTGAAGATCAGCTGGGGCAACAGAGTGCAGGGTGGCAAGGGTGACTGAGGTTAGGACTGGGCTGGGCAGCTGGGGCTTCTTGATGTGACGCAGTTCTGGGTTTGTAAGAGCCCCTGAGCTTCAATGCAGCATGCAGCCTAGCCCCAGCTCCAGTCCAGCAGTGTGGCGCAAAGGGCTTTGTCTGCCACAAAGCAGGCCCTGCACCTTTTAGAACTCTGGGAGCTGGGGCAAATCATTATGCCTAAGCCATAGTTCAATGCCTTCAAATGGACATTAGATTCCCATATAGTGGAACCTAGGGTCATGACCGTAATCCATTCCAGGACTACGATCACAACCCGATTTGGTCGTGACTGGAAGCACGACCGTCTGCACATGCGCGGACAAAAAAAAATGGCGCAGAAGGGGAAATTGCTGCAGCTGTGTCTGGTCGCCATCTGAAGATGTCTTCATGACCAGAAACAAAACTTTGCTGAAAATTCTGGTCATCACCCGATTTGGTCGTGAACAGAAGCGTTCGCGATCTGAGGTTCCATTGTACTTCCTTTCTTAACCACCTTAGAAAATTTCTTGTAAATGGCTTTTGGATGGTAAGAACCTTCAGAAGGTTCTTACCATCCAAACGCCATTTAAGTTTCATTACACTGGGTGAGTTTCCTTCTATCCTTGAGGAAAGATGTTCCATGCAAATTTAAGGACTTTAAAAAGAATTTTTTAAAAAATAAATAGCAAAAGGATGACTAGAATGTTGATTCTGGAAAGTTATAAATGGATTAGGGACCAGAAGAACTTGGAATACAAGAATATTTCCTGTAGATTGTTTAAAATGTTATAAAAACATTTATGAAAAATTTGAAACTATAAGAAATCTTCCAATGGGAAAGTGTTTATTAGGGGGAAAAAAGATGATAAAACAGGAATTATACTGCCATTAAACATCATTGCTTTCTAAATACTACCTACAACCCACACAAGCTATTGAGTTAAGAGACAGCCAGCTTTGATTCTGTATGGCATCATTCTTGCACAGACAGAGCTGGTCTCCAGCTTGGGGTCTTCCTGGATTTTGTTTGCATTCCAAGTGTAGGGGATAACCATAAGGATCTTTGCATACATGCATTTTTATGTGGCCACTCATGTCATCACTTTATGGTGAATTATTACGATGAACTCTACAATGTGTTATATATATATATTCTAATTTTTTGATGCCTGAATATCTTCTTAAGCAGGGGAATACCGTTCAACTTAAAACATGAAGCATGGTAGAAAAGAAGTATCGAACTTGGTCTGTATTTTGCAAACAAAAGTAGATTCAAGAATACATGCGCTTCATTAACTTCCTAAAAATAATTATTTTGCAGTTAAACTGCATTATCTTCCCACTATTCACTCAGATTATCAGGGAATACTCCATGTTCCTGACACAGGGAAAACAATGTTCAATGCCAATCAAATATAAAAAAAACCTCTGACATTCTAAATAAATCCTACTAGAGGTTCTCCCCTCTACTCTGCCCCCCAGAAGCCTCAACCTTTCTTTATTATCAATCAAATTGATGTTTATTTAATGCTGGAAAGCCCTAAGGGAGGACCCTGACATTTTCTAGTCATATCCTCAAGGCCTTTAGCTCAACATGCTTAACATTCCGCAAGGATATCCATCATGCTCCACAAATTGCAGCTTGCATGACAGTAACAGGTTCAAAGATTTCTTCCCTCTGCTCTTTACAATCCTTTCTTGAGTCTCAAATACGAACAGTATTCAATATCCTATAGTTCTGCTAATCACGAGTGTTCAAATTTGTATAACCAACGCTTACATCCAATATGTCATGGAATGTTGTTAAGAAGTGGCTCTAAACTTAATCTCTTTGATAAGTGCCAATGTAAATATGGGTAGCAAAATCTATGAAAAGTAATTTGAAAGGTATCCAAAACTCTAAAAGAATTGGAATTTAGCACATTTGATTTATTTATTTTTATCAACTTTTGATAAGAGCAATGTGAAATACCATTTTGGTCACATAATGGAGAAATTTAATTCATGTTATGAATCTTTCTATTCATATGCCTGTCGACACACTTGCCTATTAAAAACCAATACTATTAAAAAGACTCAAAGTCCAACTAGTGTCGAAGTAATTTATATAAAGCAAGCTAGGGAACACACACACACACACACACACAAACTGGGATATATGAGAGACTATCTCCTCCCAATCATATCAGCCTGCCCAACTAGATATGGAGCATACTGTGGATACCATCAGCTAGGGACCTACATATCATGGGTCACAGTGACATGATAGATATCTCTATCATGGTGCCCTCTTCATGGAACATTCTTCCTGTTGAAATTAGATTCATGCCATCTCCTTTGACATTCTGAAAATGTCCCAAGACCTGGTTATATAATCAGGTCTGGGGTACACAGGGAAGTGTAGATATACTCAGATATGCTAGGTAATTATTATTCTTTTGCTGAGGGTCTGTATATTTTTTATAATGTTTATTTTTAATCTGGATTTTTTTATATTTCTTGTTATTCAACGCATTTTGTGAGATAAATGTTGTACACATTTTGTGAGATAAATGGCTACACAAATTTGACAAATAAATAAATGAAGGATAAATCCAAAAGACTATTTCCCTACTCTAAAGGAGACTAGAATTTAACTTGCAGGCAAAAAAGTCATTTGATTGTTTTAACTTGCTAAATCATGCATGTCCCTCTTGATTAAGGCATTCTGTTGATTCCTGTAATCTTACTACAAGAAGTTAGAAAGTTTATAGAGAATGAGATTAATCAACAGGAGACAAGCAAAGAGAATACCTATCTCTATTTTTTCTCCTTTGTTAATCAAACTTTCATCAGTTGTTGTCATCCTCCCTTATTATTTTTTAACTCCAGAATGCTGCCCGCCCCTACCTTGTCGAGGAAGGTGGGGCGGTCCATGGAAGACTCTTTGGAGATTGGTGGTGGGCGGCAGCCAAGGGGTTTGGTGACCATTCCATTGTAGTCAGCTACTCCCATTCCACGCTTGTCCATTTCCACCTTCTTTTCCAGCAGAGCACCTGTAAATGGTAAAGCAAATATGAAAATGTCAGAAGAAAATTAGGGATCTTTATCCAAGTCAAGATGAAATTATATTTATATTGCTTTCACTACATTTTTCTTAGTATCAATACATTTTAAAACTTGAAATTTAAAATGAACATGCTCTTTTAAAGCACTGAATTAGTACAAATTTATAGCCTACCCAACTCTTACATAAAATGGTTTTAAAATAATGCAGTTTATTTCACTGAAACAGAACAATCCTCAATCATACCTATAAGTATATCATTTACAAAAGTACTTACTCATGGCCTGATCTAGATTCATACTGTTACTCTTTAAGGCCTCTTCTGCTGGCTCTCTCTGCAAAAATAAGAAAATATGTTGGTTGCTAACTACACCAAACAGAATTTATATCCAGATATAAGAACAATTTACATTTATGTTAAGAGGTGATAATAATTGAAATTTCAACAGTTAATATCCAGAAGTTTGCAACTAAAGTGGTGGAGGGAGTGTGTCCTATGGTCAAGCAGCAAGTTAATGTGTTGAAACAGCAAACGAAGCTTTTCATAGCAAATAAATACATACAACTGATAACCTGCCAAGACCTGCAGATCAATAAATGTCTAGGTGTGCAACAGCTGGTGATGAGTAAAAAACTGGCAAACTTAAAATATCAATTTTAGGTTCAACCACAATTTGGAATAGGAAATAGGTGCCGGCTTTCAAATTTACTATGGCAACTATAAGTTCCCCAGTCCAGTTTCAGAGTCTGCCTACAACCTGGAAATAAGCAATATGATTGCCAATTGTTTGTTTGGCAATCATATCCCATAACTTCTGTCATGGATTCCATGTAATAGAATGAATCTCAGATACTTCTGAAATGGCCAAAGCATCTAGCCTATTCTGAGCCACAAAAAATTCTTAAGTTGAAGACTAGTTGTGAACTAGAAAAAATCAATTGGGAATTGGGAAAAATCCTTAATATGATGATTACACAGTTACTGTTTTAAAGTCATTATCCTGGATTTTGCCCATACTTTTCAATAACATGTAACCACCCATTTTTTAAAAAGAAATTTTCCAAAGAGTTAAATATTCATAAGAGTAATTATCAAAAATCTATGCCCCAATATGGCTCCAAAATTTCTCACAGCCTGGGAACAATTGCACTTTCCAATACATGTTGTTCTAAGAACTTCTCATGACTGCAAGGGGAATAAATAATAAAATTCCAACATAACCCCATAGAGGATGATATTTCACTAAATTTTAATTTGCAATGCTAATAAAATATAACCCCAATGATAGTTTTCAAATCTGATAAATTAAAGCCACCATCCTCAAATGGTAATTTCAATTTAGTTAATGGAAACCTTGGTGGATTACTATTGCAAATAAATTAAATAGCCTGTCAATCTGAGGAAAATGTTTATTTGGTATTCATGTTATGATACCTCTAAGGACATCAATAAAGTGAAGAATATTAATTCTAATAACATTCATTTTACCCCACAAACATAAGGGGATTTTAGCTTCTCTATTTATATACCATTCATTTTTAATACAAAATTCAAAGTATTTATATCCATATCACATATCTAGAAATATTTTGAAAAATGTAAAATCCAAGATAGTTAATATACGAAAATGACAAAACCAACCCTCTATATAACTGTGTGACGTTAGAGTCTAAGGGAAGTAAAGCAAGTATTATCTTAGTTAATCTTATAGCCACAGTACTTTCTGAAAACTGTAGTCTCTTTATAAAATTAGGCAAAAACATGAAATACTTCTCCAAACCTGCAAAATATCACCAACATATCCAATTATTTGTACTCACCCTGCAAACATAATACCTTTAATTTCCAAAGTGCCTTACAATATCAGATAAAGGTTCAACAATCAAATTAAATAGCAAGGGTGAAAGTGGGTAGCTTGAAATCATTTGATTTGTTATTACTTTAGTGCAGGATTTCAAATAATGAACTTTAATCTAATGAATAAAATTCCTTGGAAAATCATATCTAATCATCAATTGTTCTTAAAAAATATAGTCCATTTTATAGAGGAGAATATTTGTAGCTCAGGGTTGAAATGAAGGGTTTTTTATACTCTTTGAGCTTGGTTCTTTTCTTGCAACCCATTCTATCTTAGGTGCATCCAATCAATCAATCAATCAATTTTTTTAACTAAACTATTAAATTTTTAACAAACTGATTGTACATGGCCAGAAAATTTGCAAATGCATCGTTCCATTCCATTGAAAAACTACCTAGGCCAGGAGCTTTACCTTTTTGCAACAATTGTGTAGAAATATGTAATAGAGGCAGAGGTGCTTCAGAAGTTAAATCTATAACATATCTTTACCAAAAATCAAGTATATATTTAAAGTAGACACTACTGGGATATTTCAAACATGGACCAAAGAACTGGAAAGAGCCAAAATGCCCCTCAAATGGCTTCATATTCTTATGAATTTTAAAATGGTATCAACAGATTTGAAATTAAAGCTGATTCATAAAAATAATTATATTTACAGTATAAGGGAACATCCCAAGAATATACTCAAAAAACGTTAGACTTTCTTGTTGAAGATGTAAAAAGAAAAATTAAGGGTTCATTGAACATATGATACTTTTCTGAAATAGTACTTTAATGCACATAAGTAGATTTATGGGGAAACCTTTAAATATTAAAGAAGTTAATGTGATGTTGAATTATTCATCAAAGCTTTGGAACCTATAAGGAATTATGACTGAACAGTGCATGTGAGATGTCTAAGAACAATAATCAGAAATTGGAAAAGTGACATTATTCTAGATATTAGATTGGCTTTTAGAAATGTGCAATTTATCCGTTCTGGAAAAGGTAATATTTTCCACCAAAGGATTGAGCAGTATGTTCTTCTTTGGCACAGATTTTATATTTTAAATAATATTTTGCATCTGATTGCACTATTGTATTATATAATATTATATAATATTCTCAGTAAACTAGTGACTGTAAGTTTAATATATAGACTTTTTTCATTTTTTGCTTTTTAACTTTAAAGATTGCTTGGTTTAAGTCTGCTCTTGTGGTTTTATTGGTATTTTACCTGCATTTTGCACTCTTTTAAAATAAAGAATACTAATAATAAAAAGAGAAAAAACAAAACAAAAACCATATGCAATAAAAATAGTAAAATCTTGCAACTATAAATGCTAGACTACAAAAAACAAACCAACTCAAGCTGCATACCACACCGTAGCACAATCCACTTCAAATAATCTGCAGAACAGTGAAATGATAGATTTACAGAGATTTCTCCATATAGCCATTCTACTGGTGCTTTGATTTTTTTCCTCCTAATTATCTCTCATTCATTTCTATTTTCACTCAAGCTTTTGGCAAGGGAGACTGAGACTGCTCACTTTATCATTCATGCCAAGTTTGATCTTTTATTGATTTTATTGTAATTTCTTTGCTTGTTGTGAATCACTCAGTTACTGAGAATTGGGCAGCATACACATACAAATTTAATAAATTCTGGTCCACCACACAGTCAGCCACATGTTTAGACTAGAGTTGGCATTTTTAATCTATCAAGTCTTTCCCATAGACCTGGGATAGGGAAGATGTTGTTTGATAGTGTGAAAGGTATTGCCATAGGATGTAAGTAAACCTGTCTTTTGCAATTGATTGATGGTGATTGTCAATCACCTGATGGTGTTCAAGTGGTGCATCTGATGTTTTAAGATTGCACCCAATCCCTTCTTCCTCTTTCACAAATTTGTGATAGAATACCTTGTTACTTTGAGCAAGATTTTTAAACTTAATTTCAACTTACTAACTTGCTAATACAGGCAGACAGACCCCAGGTTAAGAATGTGTTTGATTCCCAACTCTTGTCATTCACTTGAATTTGTATGTAAGTTGAAACTCGTACTTACAAATGGACTGCCATTACTAAAAATGGTGGATGGCATTCGCTTCCTCATGCCAATAAATGGCTGAAGCTGAGCAATGTTTTAAAGAACTACTGAAAACAGGCTGTATATTAAAAACACACAGCTTCAGTAGTTCATAAAAGTACCGTCAAGATTCAATGGTTTGTTGGCTTGAGAAAGGACAATGTGTCTGCCAGTTTTATTAATAGGGTTAATATCCTTCAATATGGACATATTGAAGGCTATTTTCAAACAATGGAACCAGAAGCTAATTTTATCTGTGTCTGAGAGGACAAGGATTATCTTACTTGATTGTGACTACTTTGAAAAGTGGATTTAAAAATGACACTGGAAGAATGACATGGAAAAGAATATTACACTGGACATATAAAAGAAGCTGCAAAACTAAAAAACCTTTTGTTTTGTAACAAGGTACTAATTAGATGAAGACTTCCTCAAGCAATCTACAACTCAATATCAAAAAAAAATATCCTCAGGAGTCTTTAATCTGTTTTTTTAATATTTTGAAAATAAAATAGAATTCTCATAAGTTATAAAATTAAATTTTGTAAAAGGAAACTGGTTGTTAACAAGTTACCATCTTCTACATGTTAAACAATTTTACCTTTAACCAGCTTTCTGCCAATTTTCCCAGAATGAAAATTAAGAATCTCTAATCCCAGGCATCTACAAGATTAATTGCTTTCATAAATATGACAAAAGCAGCATTGTGACTCAAACTCAGTCTCCTTCAATAAGTACAACAGTGCTTCATTTGGACAAAAGGGATGGAGCTGGTTTCACATTGATTTCAACTTTTGAAATTATCCTCTTTCTGTCCTCCACTCCATGCTATTGCCTCTAATCTGCCAGATCTGCTCTGTATTTTTTTTAAAATTTATCAGCTACATTTTTGTCATCACATCTAGAGTCTGATCTTAATGACACATTGCTTAGAAGAGAATCAATTTCACATTTAGAATATTTTGAAATTTAAATACAACTTACTGGGAAGCCCATGTCTGTAAGTTGTTTTATCAGACGATTCATGATCCAGGCCTCATCTTGCTTACTAGATGTCTTCATGCCCTAGGAAAATGAAAAGAAACAAGAAAACCAAATTCTAAATGTATGTACTCAGCAAAAGTCTATTGCATTTAATGAACTTTGTTCTAGCACTGTTCTACATAGCTTGCATTAGATGTCAGCAAAGAAAATACTGAGGTTTTTGTAACCCTAATGGTAGCCCTGCCTTATTTCCTACTAAGTAGATACATGATTGCAGCCTAAATATATATATTTCCCTTAAACTATCAGTAGGATCAAGATGTATATGGTTACTGTAGTATAATATTTTGAATAGGAAGCATTTTGGACATGGCAGTGAATAGAAACTGCAGTGATTTTGGGGTCTACTACGAGGTCCTCTTTTCTGCTCTTATAGATCAGGAAAAAAAGTATTGAAGTAGATGCTTTTTTATTAATCTGAGCAACCTATCATGTGAGATTAACAAATTTTGGAGACTTGTAGGCATCCATATAAACTTTGAGGTCTTAGGTTTAAACTGTAATTAATGAATAAATGAAGTAGTTTCATCACAATTTCAAATTAACCAGCATTTGAAATTCCTCAATTAGACATATGGAGGAAACGTTACTTTAAAGATGAAGGCAGATACTTCTTATTGGTGTTAAATGAAAAAGTGGAGAATTGAATTTGCAAAAGCACAGCTTGCTGTATTTTGTGCAACTGGCATTAAGTTTTGAGCTTTTTCCTGTAGTGGTTTTAAATGCATTTTATTCATTTAATGTATAAAAGTTATCCTGAAGCAATGTATAAAACTATGGAATAAAAATTAAAGTACAATAACTACAAAATTAATAGAAATTGGGGGAAATGAGAGAGGAAAATAATGTTTCATGGATATTGGGGGAGGGGCTAGTATTCTACCATATGCTTAGATTATTATTTTGCTTTATTTAATGTAAGCCACCAAGAGTTGATTGATTAAGGTGGGGCATAAACCCTATCATAAATGTAAATACATACATAATCTATGATCAATTAAATAAATCACAGCCCCTCAAAAAATCATCTTAGTAAGTCTATCAGTGTCCCATATCGCTTCACAAGATCAAGGTTCCAGGGGACACCTAAATTGTGTTTGTATATATGTTAATTCAAGAAAAAGAATACTAAATTATAAATTAGTAATATTCCTGGAATAATCTTCCCATAGGTTTAACTGAATAATTCATATTTTATTAAGTATATGGGCCATGCCAGTCACAAACTATTCTTTTCCATATATCAAGATGTATTAAAACAGTGAGACTTCCTTGAGCTAAATGATAATTTCAATATTTATATTCATTCAAATGGGCAAATGAAACCCATAACTGATATGACCTGGAGTAATAGCAAACATTAAAGATACAAAGCTCAGTGTTTCCACTAAGATTCTGGCTATTATTTGTAAATCCCCTAATAAGCTTGGATCCTTGGCCCTTGGGGGTCTTCTGCTCCTGTTATAATCTGCCCATTAAAAAGGCAGGGGTCAAAAGGGAATGCTGTAGATCAGGGGTGTCCAACCTTGGCAACTTTAAGACTTGTGGACTTCAACTCCCAGAATTCCACAAGTCTTAAAGTTGCCAAGGTTGGACACCCCTGCTGTAGATCCTCCTCTTTTAACATGTGACTGAGGTGTAAGAATCTGGCCTTTTCAGCTGAACTACCCTCACTTTGGAACTCTTGTTTGCTGAGATGTGACTATAAGGCAACTGTTTAGCACTCTAATTCTTTTGTATTGATGTCATAGTTGTAAAATGGTTTTAATAAAAGCTTATGGTTCTAAAAAATACATGCTGCTTAGAATTAGTTTTGTTACCATATCTGCTTTGGAGTACCAGGCCCATACAACAACAATAACAACACCAACCAAACGTGGAAACAATGGCTATTACCCTTCCATAGAATAATAAAATAGGCTGGCCTGTAACAATAATAATTGATTTGAGTTATTCAATAAAGAAAGCAGTATCATTGCTTGAACCATTTGACTATTAAATTGCTGATACCTGTAACCCATCTGTTTCAGTCCTACCTTCTGAAGTCCTTTCTTTGGGACATTCCCCCAGGAGCTACAAGAGGAATTGCTCTCTTGTGAAGCAGTATTATTCCACATATCTCCTTCTTCATCTTCCCACTGACTTGTACTGAGATTTACTTCATCTCCACCACTGCCCCAGCCTTCTTGCATAGAAGATTTAGAAGCTATGAAGGGGAAAAAAGGGAAGATTTAAGTAAGCTTTCCTAGTCTCTTTAAATCTTGCCATCTGTAATCATAGCAACACCATATTTTACTTCACTGGTATCAAATTGGAGAGCCTACAGATGAATCAATAAAAAGGACAGCAATTCTAGATGCTGATACATTTTTCATCTTCCACAACATAAAAGAATACCTATTTAAATTGAAGAAGAATGTAAAAGCAGGAGTATTTTTCCTTCCACCTTAGCCAAGCCAATCAATGAACTACAGATTTTACCTGGTTTGCACAGTGCTGGGGCAGCAGCTGGTGCGCTCACTCTTCCATATGTTCCTGCTGACTCAGCAGAGTTATCTCCCCACCCTGTACCACTGCTAGGGGGCTTCCCCCAGGCTGAAGTGCCATTATCAACTGCAGCAGAAGGGGAAGAAGGTTCTCCCCATGAAGCTTCAGGCTTTGCATGGACAGCAGGCATCTCTCCCCAACCTGCTGAAATTAGAAATTGAAAAACCATGTTGAAACCAAAACACAGAATTAAATGTTAATACGACATGTTTAATCATTTTATTTAAAAATTATGGACAACTTGAAGCGAGCTCAGATAAAGTTTAGTCACCTAAGACAAGATTTGCTTTTCTTTTCTTAAAGGAAGATTCAAGAATCACTGCACTACAATAAGAATCCTTTGCTAAATCTTTTCACATTCAAATATTTTCACAATTTATAAAATTGTTATAAAAATATAACTTTTATTAACTTATAAAAATATTACACTTCCATAATAAACAAAAGCATCTACTCATTCATTTGGATGGCTGAAATCACAAGAATTTTCCAATTCTTTCAAAGCAAAACTCTGAAATTCACCCTGAGAAAAACAGTGCTGGCTTCATCCACAACTTTTAAAAGGGCTTTTAAAATATACTTTTTTCTCTCTGATTTTTAATTAATTTTTTTTAATGCTATGTGCTATTCTTAAATATTTGATGTAAAATTTAAAACTATTAAGTTTAACATTAAACTTATTACATTATTTATTTGTATCACCTTTATTACTTTTATAAATAATTCAACATATCTAACACACTCTCCTCCTCCTATTTTCAACACAACAACACTTGTTTCATATATTATGAAACAATAATTTTTAACCCATAAACTGACTATTTTGAATAAACCAGTCTGACATAACAGTTATTGTGTGTTAAAGGAGGTATGTTCAATTTTATTGCTATTTTGGTAGAGAATTCAAACGTCTTGTAATCAAATATATAACAAGGTGAATTATTTCTGGGCCATCTGTAGAATGATATCTCTTCAGTAATGTACATCTCAAAACTAGGTAGTGGAAGGAGTTTCTTCAAAATCTTTGCCCAAATCCCATTTTATCCATCAGTTAGAAACATCTGGACAAGTCCTTATCCAAGAACAAAGGAATGACTTTAGAAGCTTATCACAATAGGATTTACCTGGCACTTGGTAAATTAAAACTGGTGTGGAATGCTAAAACAATCACCAGAAACCCCAGAATCTGGTTGACTTTATTTTCAAACATAATGTTGCATAATGTGACCTTTTTTTAAAAATGTATCAAAGTAGAAAGGTTTTGAAAAATTGGGGAAAGAAATGAAAAGCAATGGAATAAGGAATAACCAGCTTATGGGAAAACTGCAGAAAAGACCTAATAAGAAAATCATAACAGAATGGATATAGATAGGGGTGTTTCATAAAGTAGGAGTTCTGAAGTAAGGGACACATGTTCATCAGAGGTGGTATTCAGCAGGTTCTGACCAGTTCTAGAGAACCGGTAGTAGAAATTTTGAGTAGTTCGGAGAACCAGCAAATACCACCTCTGACTGGAGATTTCACAGTATCCTTCCCCTGCCATGCCCACCAAGCCATGCCCTCATAAATGGTAGTAAAATTTTTTGAATCCCACCAATGATATTCACATGTAGATTTGAGATTGTTCCTAACAGGATTTTATGTTAAAAGCCTTCAGTAATTGATTTATTATGTAATCATATCCTGCCATAATTACAATACCATTCAGGAAATTAAGTACAAATATTATGAAATAAGCCACTTAAATAGATAGCAAATATGATGTAAATAGACAAACTTCAAGGAAATAAAACAGTATAAGTCTGATAAAATAGATAATAATTCACAGGTTACTTTGCCAAATAAGGAGCTATGAAGTGGAACTTCCACTTTACAGAAGGAAAAATATGAAAGGTTATAAGTTACAGATTGAATGGATTCTTCTCCAAAACAACATAGCCTAAGTTTGTAAGGGATTTTTAAAATATTCCCCTTTAAGAACAGCTGCTGGGAAGATACGGAAATGTTCTAGTATATATTATTTTAAAAGCTTTAGCTTCTCAATTGAATAAGAATCAATACTATAATAATAATAGAACATCTACTCTTGTTAAAGAAAAAGAATTGTTTCCCATAGTTCTCTTTAAATTCAGTAATTATTAAAAACACTCAATCTGCAAAATATAAATAATATCTAAATACATTGTGTATTGAGCCACATATTATGTAAATTATTACTCAAAACAAGGGAGTTCATGCCATGCCAAATGAGTTATAATTATATGACAACAAGAACATGCATTAAGACACTCATAATTTGTAAAGTTCTCCAGAGATCAAACTAAGTCAAAAAAAGTTGCAGTCATAATGATCGTTATGAAAAACCATATGAAAAATTTTAAATAATAAGTTGGGTGTTGCTGATATTTAAATCCTGGGGAAAAATTTCCAAATTCTACTAATGTTTTAAGAATAGCTATGGATATTTGTACTATTTACATATGAATACAAAACACTACAACTAAGCAAAGCAAAACATTAGTAAAATTATTCTAAACCAAAAAATTAGGCATTCGGGTCTTTTCATTTGCTCAATATGAAAAAGGACAGAACCTGACTGAAGAGGGCAAATTGTGAGATATTGGAAATATTACATACACAAATTATTCAGATAAAATAAATTAAAGCTGATTTATCTGAAATTTCTTTGAATATAGTGTCTCAATCTAAACTGATTCATATAGCAAAGCATTCTTGCTGGTCCAAATAAGAACCATTCCAGAACAAATATTTGAACTTCCTTAAAATCTTCAGGTTGACTTAACTGAAAAGCTATCCATACTTGAGAGTTTGATGATATATTCTTTAACTGTTTTTAAAAAGATGATTTATAATTTATTAATGGAGACTAGTTCTTTAATCAGCTATGTGTTCTCAAATGAACTAAGATAATTAACACTGCATTTATACAATGGTAACCTAAAAAGAATTATAGCCTTACAGATAGTTGCATAACATTACTAGAATTTAGAATACAGAATGCTCTTAGAGCCATAGGACTAATATAGTTCACATTTATTTGAATATTCTAGAATTACTAGATATAAAGTAAGTAATAATTAGTAGTCTTAATGCACTGTATCCTATCCTATTGTGATTTAATAGTGCTACTTTATTTTAGAATTTTTAGGAAAAACTGATCAATTACTTTCTCAAACTTCAGGAAATACTCAATCCTCTTTCAAAGACATATATACACACACACACACACACACACACACACACACACACACACACACATATATATATATATATATATATATATATATATATTGGATTTTAAGGATTCTCATAATTAAATCTCATCTCCATTACTATAGTTTTAAGTTCTCTATTCAAAATGATATTAAATGGTCTTCAAAACCACCCACCCACCCAGCCTGATGCACACTATCAGAAATGTGCTGTAGAAAAGCATGAGCCCTGTCCCTTCACCATGCCAATAATCTTTGGCATGGTTTGACTTATAGCCTCAGTTATTCATCCTACAAAGAGGCCCCTTCAAGTAAGCCTTTTCTGAAGACAACTGCACAACTGTCATATAGAACACCTTCTACATAGAGGAAAAAAAAGGAAACTTTTAAAATTGTTATTATAAAATGTACTACTGGTCTCTGGTTAATATACTTAGTAGAAGTAATCTAAAATCAAGGCCACATAATGTTATCCTATTGATATACAAACTGGAGTCTGATGATCCCTAAAATTTCAGCACTTCGTAGCACCAACTACACAATCTGAGGAACATTAATTCAAACAACTAGACAATGGATTAGGGAAAGTGACAGAGTACTGCTCCTATTCATCAAAATTGCTCTTGTTGTGGTAGCAAGTAGTGCCCTCATAGGGTTCTTTAATCGCTTCAGGAGTCTTTCCTTAGACCAAGACGGGATAAATATAGTGCCCTTAATGGTCTTTTGCTATTTTGACATATTGGTGGCAAATTACTACTTCAGGACTGTTGAACAATGAAGGAAATTCTGAAAGCACTTGAAGGGCTGCTGATGCTATTACCGTGATGCTCAGAAAATAAGGCTGGGCCTTATTTTTTTTAGACCCCCGAAAAAACGGCTAGCCTTTTCGAGGGGTGCCTTAATTCCCCCCCCCCCCTGCATGTGCATCCTTTCTCTCCACCGGGCTGCTTTAGCGGCTGTAAGGAGCTCCCCATGTGCACCCTTGCTTGCCTACTTGTAGCCTGCCGTTGTCCACTCTGAAAAGCCTGGTAAGCCTGGCCACTGCGCCACTTCTTTTGATTCCTGCTTTTCCTGCCACAATCATCGCTCATCCCCTGCCACCTCCCCGCTTTCTTTCTCACACACAAGGAAAGCATGCAAGACAAAGATAGGGAGAAGGAGGGGAGTCACTTTTGAACACGTCCAGGACTTTTCACATTGTCATGATCAGCCCCTGCCATGGATGTGTGTGTGTTCTCATGGGGAAAATCTCTTCCAATCCACCCTCTCTTTTCCTTCATCTCTGCCAGAAACACCCCCCTACATACACACACACACATCCATGGCAGGGGCTGATCATGTGAAAAGCCCTGGACATGTTCAAAAGTGCCTCCCCCCTTCTCTCTTTTTCTTGCTCGTTTTTCTTGTGTGTGAGAAAGAAAGCGAGGTAGGTGGCGGGGGGTAGGTGGCGGGGGGCTCTTGATGAGCGACGACTCTGGCAGGGAAAGCAGGAATCAAAAGAAGCAGCGTTCCAGAGGCAATGGAGTGTGATCCGATGGACAGGTGAGTCACGTGGGATGAGTTGGGCAAGTTTCCTCTCCCTCCACCCCATGCCTCCTCACCTCATGTAGTAAACGGCCGTGCATGCAGTTAAATAGGCCCAAATTTTGGAGGCAGGCCTTAATTTAACTGCATGCGAACAAAACAGTGCTGGGCCTTCGTTTTGGGGTGGGCTGTATTGTTGGAGAAACACGGTATCAAGTCTGATTCTACAAGTCTTTGGAGGAATAAGAGATGGTCCCAGTGGCGGTATTCTACCGGTTCGGCTTGGTTCTGCCGAGCCGGTAGCGCCGATGAGCAGTGGAGACTGAATCGGTTCTCTCCAACACTCTGCTGTTGGGACCTACCACCTGCCCGGGCTCCCATACTAACCTTTATGTCCTGCTTTTGAAGCCCAGCTACTTTGCACAGCAAGCAGATTGCCACGCAGCAGCTGCTAAAGTGACAGGGAGAGTTCGGGCTTGCAGGAGGTGAGTCAGAAAGCCTCTGTGCCTGTGCAAAGTGCATGTTTGGCACGTGTGCATGCGCAAAGTGTGCACGCATGCGCAAAGTGCACCAAGCCACACCCACAGAACCGGCGGTAAACGTATTTAAAATGCATCACTGGATGGTCTGCATGTAACACCAAAGAGTCTTCAGCTTCAGATGTATATAAAGAGAAGCCTACAGATGTGACTATGGATAGCTATGAGATTTGGGGGAGAGGGATGTCCTTAGGGAAAAGGGTTGTTCTGCAGCACCCAGTGATTTTCATAACAGTAGATAATCTAAGAATGTTTACCACCTTGACCTCTACGTCTTCTGTCTTTTATATTGCAGCTTGATTTAAATGTTTTATATGTCCATATTTTTGTTTTGTTTTTTCCCTACACTTTGATGTTGTATTTCAACTATATATGTTATTTTATTTGCCTCTGAACTACCGAATAAAAGCAAATCTTTATCAATCCATGGAAGTTGCAATAAGCAAAATACATATTATATAAAAAACCCTATCTTTGTCATCAATCAGCCAAAGGGATTGCCAGAAAAGGTCCCCTTCTGCTACCTTTATAGGCCTGGAAGTATTGTTTGTAGTAGGGAATATTTGGATAAATGATGCAGTTGCTCCTAATCTGCTCTCAACTGTTTAAGCACATATGCAACTTATTGCTTAATCCTTATTCCTTTGATTAAACTATTTATTTACTTACTTAATATGGTTTATACTCACTTTTTTGCAGATATTCCATGGACACTTTTCTATTTTATTCCCAACAATTAGGTATTTCAATTATTCAACAATTGTAGTAATACAAACTGAAAATTCTCCTTCTCATGCTTGATCCTTTTATTCCAAGCAGAGTACAATACTGCAGCTCCCTATATTCCAGTTCTACTTGAGTAAGTTAATAGTTATTTAAGATCCAAAAGTAATTGGAAGGAGCAGTAGCTATCACATCTAATCAAAACATATTCATCATTCCTAGAGATATGGCATCTCATATTTATGAGAAATGAATAATTCCTATTTATATTGGATGAAATAGAAAACTGTTTCTTTAAATATTTGTGCTATTTCCTCTGTTTCAAATGAAACGCAGAAAATAGCACAAATACATTTCAACTAAAACTAAATAACAAAGAGTTTTCAGTATGAGCTGAATTCTTCCTGTAGGGGTCTAAAAAGCTTAAACCTGGGGAAGAGAAGAAAGATTTTGGATGTTTTCAGACATTTCATTATCATGTTATCAATTTTTTTTTGCTGCTATTGCTTATTTAATGTAAGTGCTTTCCAATATTGTCATACAAAAATATCCTTATAAAAGCTAATGATTTTTTTAATGACTCCAATAACTAAGCAGATTTTAGGTTAGCAATAACTGAAGTTAATAACTTATTGCTAATAACTTAGCAATAACTGAAGAAATACCTCCTTGGCAAAAAAACCATTCAGATGTAATACCTGATTGCACTACAAGATGCAGTATCTGATAATGAAAATCAAAGACTAAACATGTGAGAAAACAGAACTAAGAGGAGAAATATGGCACATATTATTAAGACAGTATTTTAGAATCAATTATGTGAAGTGCTGATGGACTTCACATGGTCATATGAAGTGCTAGCCAGTGATGCTGAACTGTCAATCTATAATCCCAAACACATTTATTTGGTTATATGTATTATTCTGAAGACAAGGGGTCACTAGTGTCTCTATCCAATATGATTACCTATGCATCTTTTCTGCTTTTTCTTTTGAACAAGGAATTCGTCATGCTATTTTTTTTAAATGATGGTGTTCCACAGACTCATTTTGTTGGATACTGTTTCAATTTTTTACAATCCTGCTGCTCATTTAAATCTATGTAATTACATTGCTTTCCTAATTCAAGTGACAATCTAAAACACACTTACCTGAAATTAAGCTTAACTGAATTTAATATTTTATTTCGACCAGCTATAGAACTGTATTGTCAACCATTCATGCCTGCTCAATTTTTTCACTTTGAATGGGAAATAAATCAATTTCATAATCAAATAAATAATAAATCAATAAATAAATTTCATGCAAGCAACATATTGGAAACTACATTTGTACCTTCTACTTTCATCTTAAATATTAACATATATTTAAGGTTGAATACATAAGTTAACAAGCATTATTACTTCATGCTAAAAAAAATCAAAATATATATCCTACCTGGGCCAAGCAGAGGGGACCGGTTTGACTGGGCACTTGACTGGTGCGGTGGCTGAGGTTCAGCCATGTTTGCGTTGATAGTGGTGGTAGTGGTGGTAGCTGTGGTACTGCTCTGGATTACAGGATTGTTTCTATCCCACATATTTACAGTCTTGTTGTTATTATAATTTGGATCACCCCAAGCTGAGGTACCATCATCTATCTCCATCTTGCGCCGAATGGAGGGTGGAGAGGGTTCTTCCCACCCAGTTGCTTCGCTGCTATCTTTCTGTTTGGCTGGGAGTGGTCCACCAACCCATCCTGATCCAGACTGTTTAACAGAAGCAGCTCCGCCCCAATTACTCACATTGTTGTCCTGGGATTTAGAAGCCCAATTTTGTTGGGGACCAGATTTTAAAGATTCCCCCCAGCTTGTACCTGTATTAACTTTGCTATTTGTGCCATTTCCCCATCCACTGGTCCCAGAACGTGTAGTGTCATTCCAACCAGACCCTGATCTGTTGTCAGCATCCCATCCAGAACCATTCTTTTTCCCATCACCCAAGTGTCCAGGGATAGATGAGGAATCAACCCAATCTCCACCACTTGAAGTCCAGCCTGGATTTGATTTCTGTCCATCTCCCCAGTTTTGAGATTTGGGCTTTTGAGGTTCCCCCCAAGTAGGCGACTTGTCCTCCTGATTTGTGGCCCCACTCCAAGTGTGGCCACTTTTGGCAGCAGCAGCATTATTGACAACAGTTGAATTTGTTAGCTCTCCCCATCCCCCAGGGCCGTTTGGCGCTTTGTTATTGTTATCACCCCAACCTGTATTAGTTGGAACGGATGCAGGTGGAGAGCTGACCCACCCAGATACTGAAGAGGTATTTGTACTGTTCATGATGGACCCATCATTCTTGCCCCCTGCATTTGAAGGCTGAGTAGCTGCACAACCCCAGGCCTCAGTTCCATTGTCATTCTTTCGCTCAGACCTTGGAGATTCTTCAAATTCCCAGGCAGTGTTTTGTTTTACAGGCGTCTGTCCCCATCCAGTGTTGGAAAGAACCCTTGGGTCAAGGTCATTCCTTGGCAGTTGGACTTGCCCTTGGTCTATCATTCCCTTGTCTCTTCTTCGACACTCTCCAGGGCCTTCTCTTCCAGTACTGCCTTCATTTTGACTTCCATTGCTATCATTACTTCCTTCACTACCTGTGTTGCCTGTTGCTGCAGCTTTGGCCCAAGAGTTTATTTGATCATTGCCCTGCTGCATGGCAGGATTCTGGTTGGTAACACTAGAGCTGTCCCACCCTGTTGATCCTTTTCCACTGATGTCATTACTGGAATGCTGGTTTGGGGGTTTGCTCCATTCACCATTAATACCATTGCTAGTGCTGCGGTTTGAATGTCCCCAAGCACCAGAATGCATGCTACCAACGCTATTGTTGCCATTGCCCCTGCCCCATGCTAAGACTCCAGGACTGGCAGGATCCCACGCACTTGTTCCATTCCCTTCCTTTTGCACAGCATTGCTGGATCCATTTTGCTTAGCAGTTAATGCTGAGTTCACAGTGTCTCCATTCCCCTGACTGAACCCAGAATTGCTGTTTCCTGTGGCAGGATTATTTGGGGATATTCCCCACACTGAATTGCCCATTCCTTCACCACTGCCCCCACTGACTTGAGAAACTGATGTCCCATTAGCACCAGGAAGGCTTTGCAAATGGGGTGGGATGATGGCCCCCATGCCAACAGCCATGCCCCAGTTTGGCAGTCCATTTGTCTGCATTGCATTGATAGGGTTTGGTGAAGAGTTCATGGGGTTAGTGTTATTTGGTCCATCAGTGTTAAGGTTCTGAGGTTGTACGCTGAAAGACACATTCTGAGAAGTGGACGTTTGTGGTTCTGTGCTCTCTTGTGGCAACAAGTTTCCCCAAGCACCTAAGGTGCCTGCTGGGTTTCCATTCTGGTTGCCCATGTTCTGACCTATGGCACTGACTGGACTGCAAATACTGGAAGGGTTGCCTGCTCCCACAGTTCCCTCATGTCCAAGTACAGGCCAGGCAGCTGGATTGGCATTGGGGTTAAGGTTAAGATTAATGCCAGCATTTGAGTTGGAAGCACCCCAGCAATTCTGACTTCTACCATCTCCAATCATGTTGTCCATCTTTCCATCCCCACCACTGGCAGAGCAGTGAGCTAAGCCAGAGTTAGAATTGGTGGCAACACCCCACACTCTGGTCGAGTTTCCATTACCATTTGCTCCCCCAGCTCCAAGGGCACTCTGGTTAGAAGTGCTTTGGATGAGTGCTCCATTGGTGCCATTATTGCCATTGGGTTTCTTTGTATGTCCAGTGAAGTTGCCTTGGGCACTCCCTGTAGCCATGCTACTATTCTCAGAGCCACAGTTGGAGGCAGAGTCAGTGTCTGTAGTACATTCTGAGGCAGACTCAGTCTCAGTTCCTGTAATGGAAGGCCACGCTTCCTTGTCAGTCCTGTCTATTATCACTTTATCCCAGCCGCAACTGGCTTCACTTCGGAAAGTGGGCTGCTGTCCCCAGTGAGTATTCTCATAGTTGTCTCCCAATCCACTGTGGCCAAGGTCTGTAAAATCAAATATTATGCAAATTAATCACCTGACAATGACCAAATATACAAATATGGCTTATTACAATATTTTTACACACATTTCCAATTTCACATCTGAAAAAAAACAAAGCCTATGTGATAGCATAAAAGATATGTATTAGAAAGGTGAAGTATATATTTTTCTATAAAATATAGTCTTCCATGGTACAATAATGCACTAAAAATTCCAAGCTATGGTAAAATAACTTCTCTATACTAATACATCCAAGTTTTAGATACATTAAAATTTCTCTTATAAGACTCAAGTAACAAAACCACTTTTGTTAACCTATACTGTGGGGCGTTCAAAGCTCATATATTTTTCCATAAATTACAAAAGTTAAAGGTATTTCCACAAATTTATAAAGACAATCAATTCCTATAAAATGTGCCTTAAATCTTAGAAAACTTATTGTTGTATCACAGATATTTAGGACTTGAACTTAGAAACAATAGGCCTAATAGATCCAAACATTACAATAATGTTACTTTCAAGATTTTTTAAACATTAAAATTAAAAAAGACAGAAGAATTAGTTGTTTCACTGAAAATTAAGACTTGGACGTAATGGCTAGTATTCCAAACATATAAATGAAAGTACAATGTGGGCAGAAGGGTCAATATAATCCTGACCCTTGAAGAAAAAGGGCAAGCAATCGGTCCTCTTACTTATGTCCTAATCTAGCAAAGCATAATGCTAGCTTTTGAGACTAGGAAAAGCAAAGAAAATAGTGTAATAGTTTGAACTATTTGTGTAAAGAGATTCAGTGGAGGCTATTCTTATATGTAGACAGGACATTTTAAATATTAATAAATTAGCTGTTTCTACTAGCATTTTGTTCTGCAATGTGAATTACTATTAAATGTAAACTACATTTTCTGTAGTTTGGAATTTGGAGAAAAAAAATTATATGTAAGCCTATAAACAACTGGTAATTTTTCATAAAAAATAGTTGAATCTTTTCGGAATGAACTATATCTAAAGTATGATTCTTCAAAATAAAAACTTGGCAGTACAATATTCTTTATATTGAACAATTAAGGGTATTTTTAACAGTTAAATTCAACATTGTTTTTCTTATTTATTTAAAAGACCAGTTAAGGCATTTTAAAAGGCAGTGTTCTAAGTATATAAGTTAGGTAAATAAATAAAATTTCTATAGTAGAACAAAAACAAAACTTATGTATAATAATTTGGATATGCAGGATGAAGACAAAAAAGGTTTTTTACATGCACAAAGGATCTATTTTAGTCTGTAAAAGTTTATTTATTATTAAGAGACACCCCCTGATTTCTATACCATGTTTTATGAGTTGACAGTATAACCTGAGGGTCAAGTCCTTTTTTAAATGTGTTAGAAATCTATTACAGTTTTTTTTTATATAATAGTAGGTGAAATATTTATGTCTGTGTTCTGAATTTTGCAACTATAAACATTCAGGTGGAAATTGCAAGTTTGTCCAATAAGAATTTCTGTATAAAAGCTTAAATTCTAAGACTGTGCCAGAAATACTAATGCAGACACGAAAGAGTTAAGGGACAGCCCAAAATAAAACAGCTTCATTTCCAGAAAGAATCCGATATCAAACCACACAAGTGGAAAAACCTAATTTTCTTTTCTTTTTTTTCTCTCCTCTTTTTGCCACGGTATGCAACGAAGTATGTTCCCTCTGAACCTTTAATGCATTCAGGAAAAGAGCTGAGCAGCATAAAAGAGAACGTTCTTCATTATTAGATAATGAGTACTCTGTGAAATACTAACACTCCAAAACCAAACAGCAGTAGATAATGACAAATAATAACTTCATTTTTCTGCCCAGCGCAGCATATCTATAGCAAGCAGCTCTTTCTCTGAGGACGCCATTTTATCAAACCTGAAAGGCAGCCAAAAGCTTAGGACGCTGTGCTACTGCTGCCTCTAAAACATTATGTAATAAACTGATTTAACAGAAGCAGATGCTATTTGCCCCCCTCCCTTTTTTCCTCTCTCCTCTTGTTGCTCTAAAGGGGCCAATGAGTAATAAAATACCTGACGAAAGGTGACGCCCAACCATCCTAGAAGACGCTACATTGTGTACAGAGCTGCCTCTCCTTCTGCATCTAGGTTCGCCTGGACTCTCAGCTTCAATATGTCGGCTGTGTTGAGAGTGAGCCTCATCCTGTAGAGCTGCCAAGAAAACCGCTCAGTGCAAGTGTGCACCCAGACAACCTGCAAGCTTGTTCAGGCCTTAGCTCTGCTAGCTTTGGAAATGCTCTTTCTATGCAGGGAAACCCTTCTACTCCTCCCCTCCCTCCAGCATATAGCCCCCTTAACTCTGGGTAAGGCATCAACAGATGAGGATTTAAAAGCTTGATTATCTAATTGCAGCTGACATTAAACCGATCTTGCTTCCTCCTTAAATTCTTTCAACTGTCACAAAACATTTTCAGTTCGAAACCTAGCCACAATTAGCACGGTGGCTGCTTTTCTTCTGGTTTTGAAAGTCAGCCAAAAGAACAGCCGCATATTGCTGATTGGCTACATGCAAACACATTCCTGCCTCCTTCGTATTTCCACCCTCCTCTTCCCATCCTTAAAAAGAAGACGACAGACTGTATACTTAGCGAACAAGCACTGGTAATAATACCGGGGAGGGGAGAAAGGGGAACCCTGACATAAAACCAGGTAATTCCCCTAAGTCTTTTAATTGTTTCTCTGCTTTGATCAAGAACATAGAAAGTGGGCAAATACATTAAAACCCACAGCTTTAGTGTGTGAGCATGTGGAATTGTTACTACATGCCTTGGAATGACAAGACAAACTGCGCGCTTTTTCTCTTCAACATTTCCATCTGTTCTACCATGGAGGCACAAGTATTTGATTTATAGTTAAGGCCCTTTAATTTTGTTTCTCATCTTTTATTAAGCACTGTAATTTTTATATGAATAATGATATCCATCTCTGATCCAAAATGTAACATTTTCAAACTAATAAGATACAGGGGGGGAAAAATCACTATACTTTATTGACTTGGAAGGAAGCAGCCCTGAACCCCTTCACTTAAGATCAGGAAAAAAGAAAAGAAATCCTTTTATCTACTACAATTACTGTATTAACTAGCTTCTAAAACATAGATTAGGATAAAGATGTGTATATTCCACCAAGCACATGTAAGTAAACACAGTATTTAACTTTCTGAAAAACTTAGCTATGTTTTTTTCCCTTGTTTATAGATCAAATTATCATTACTATCACAAGTTAACAGAATAGCTATAGATACTTTTAAAACTGTGCAAACATTATTGTAAAAAAACAGAAGTGCAACTGAACAAGATTTCAATGGTTAGGACTGTAAATATTAACAGTAATAATTATTCTGCATGATATAGCAAAAATAAAAATATTCTGAAATTTGCAAGTTATATACATTTGAGTAACTTTTGTACATATGATGGATTATCTTCTAAAAATATATATTATGTATCATGATATCTCTGACTATATAGATAGTCCTCATTTAACAAGCACTTGTTCATCAATTATTCAAACATATGACTGCAGTGAATGGGTTGTAATGATGGCTCCTCACAGTTGTGGTCATCACAGTGTGCACATAGTCATTGATTTGCAATCCAGTCACTTGTCAATTACTTTTCAGCATCTTACAGCCATGTAATCACTATTCACGACCTTTGATGCCTGCCTCCAACAATGGGGAAGCCAGCAGGATATTGCAAATGGTGACCATGTGACATCACACTTATTGGTGGTACAGGATTCACTTAACGACAGCAACTGGAAAAGCCGTAATTGCTGTTGCTAAGCAGTGAAATCACATGGCATTCCTTTTTATGATGTTGCTTAGTGATACCACTAAGTCCAAATTACCATTATTAAGCAATTACTACAAGTATAGCTCTATCATGAATTTTGTCAGTAGTTACATTTTATTTTCTTGGTACCAAAAGATTCATGGACATAGTTTTAGTATTTCATTCAAACCTTTTTATTATTTTGGTTTTTTTTTTTTTAATTTCTGCATTCTACATTTCATGCATTTGAACCAAGAGTATATATATAATTCAATATATTTCCTTCACTGGGGTGAATAAGTACATTAGGGAAATATATGTAGAACACAAGAGAAAAATTCCAATGAAAAAGATAAACAAATATTAAACAGTATTGAAGTATTTATGCTGTCATTTTCAATAAAGCAAAGGATGACACAGCTAACATCTTATTGTCAAGTCAATTTAATTCTGTGTATTAACAGACATTTGACTTCTCTTCCATTTATAAAAGTTGACCATGTTAAGTTTTGTTGCCAGCAATGCTAGGAGGATGTAAAAATATCTTTCATACCATATTTATTCCTGAATTCTGGTTTTTAGATTGAATTGTACAGTACAATTGTTGTTGGTTGGATATTTTTGAAAATGAAGCTAAAAAATATTTTAAATACTAACCATGTTATTTCAATTATTTAAACCATTGGGGAGAGGAGAGATGAGCTATGATAAATATATCTAGCTACTGCTGGAAGAATCCCAAGCACCTGTATACAATTTTCTGAAAATTCCTTTTGGATTTTCTGAATGCTTGAATTACGTTGCCCCAGAGTATCAGATATTCAAATCGGTCTTGCTTTTACATAAAGGGAGTTTGAAAGAATGTTGGCAATTATTTTACTTATTTCATAAAGTCACCAAATATGCTATTTATGTGCTTATTTGTAAGATCAACTAACTGCCTCAAAGGATTTTATTTAGCTGTCCATCTCAGTGTGACTATGGTCAGTTTAAAGAGTTAAAAAAACATGTGCAAAATACAATAATAACAACAAAGCAACCACACTGAAGCACATTTAAAACAACTTAAAAGTATTCAAACATTTAAAAAGCCCATATTCTGCGAGTCATTAAGATATTTATGGAGGAATGTGAAAGGAATTTGGTACCACCTCTTCAGACCAACAAACTTCATGAAAAGGCA